AAGCCAGAAAACCAAGGGTTGCGAGCCACACTGCACGTAGAAAGCAGGCCACCCTCTCTCACAGGTCTAGTGTATGAACAACCGCCAGTCCTGTGGCTCATGCGCAGGTGAGTTCCATGCTCACGGTGAGTGCTCTGGGTCGGTGGTTCCTGTCCTTGTGTGCATGCTTGCAGCTTAGGCCTTTGGTCTAACCCAATCCGACCATGGCTTCAGCTTTGGAGGAGTTGCAGAATTATCTAGAAGAGGTAAAGTTGTTACTAGAAAAGGCCACTAAGATCAGAGTCCATGATGCCCTGACAGCTGAAAAATTCAATATTGAAAGAGAAATAAAGAGTAAGATGCAACAAAAATCACAAAAGAAACCAGAACTTCTTGACAGTGTAAAACCAGCTGCTGTGGTTGCATCCTTCACAACAGGATATACTGTGAAAATCAGTAATTATGGATGAGATAAATCAGACAAGTTTATGAAAATCTACATTACCTTAACTGGAGTTCATCAAGTTCCTGCTGAGAATGTGCAGGTGCATTTCAGAGAGGTCATTTGATCTTTCGGTAAAGAACCTAAATGGGAAGAGACTCTATCATTGTGAACAATCTCTTGAAACCCACCTCTGTGGAAGGCAGTTAAAAAAATCAAGACTGATACAGTTCTTATCTTATGTAGAAAAAAAGCAGAAAACACACGATGGGAGTACTTGACTAGAGTTGAGAAAGGGTGCAAAGAAAAAGAAAATCCATCCTGCGATGATGAAACAGATCCTAGTGAGGGATTACTGAGTATCCTAAAGAAAATTTATGAAGATGGAAATGATGATATGAAGCAAACAATTAATAAATCCTGGGTGGAATCAAGAGAGAAGCAAGCCAAAGGAGACACAGAATTTTGAGATTTTTAAGTCCTTTTGAGAACTATGACATGGAAATACTGATATTTCCCATAAGGGAATGTTGGTAAGCTGCACATATAAATTTGACAGATAACTACAAAGCCTTCAAAGTAAAGGCAATAAATTCTCCAATTCTTATCAGAGGATTTATTTAAATAAGATATGCATATTAAACACTACCTCCAAAGATGGTTTCATTAGTACCCTGATCATTTTCTTCAAGAAAGGGATATATGGCATTCTCATCGAAACATAAAAAGCAAGTCTTGCACAATGGAAACAATAAATTATGTGTATTTTTGTTCAGCTAGGAGGTAGAAAACAAAAGTATTTGTTTGCCCGTAGGTTACATATGTCAGCTTTCCCTAGAATAAGAGTAAAACTGAGTTTTTGTATAAAATTGAAACTGGTGCCTGTGCTTCAAATTTGCTATAGCGTGGATGATCTCCTATTACGAGCCTGAGCAGTGCATATACCAGGAATTACCATGCATTATTAAGCCAATCACAAATGTTTCTATCTAGATTTAAATATATTTGTTTATAAGTGTAGAATTAAGAATAGAGTGCCAGGGATTTAGCTCAGTGGTGCTTTGCAAGCACAAGGTCCTGAGTTTGATCCCCAGTACCAAAAAAAAAAAAAAAAAAAAAAAAATAGACAAGCATCTTTGTATAGTAACAGTTAGTAGTAAGTTCTACATGGATCAGATACTAATAACCATAAAGTAAAAGTAATTAATTTGAAAATCCATCTCTTCCTATGTTCAATAAAGTTAGATTGTTATGTTACAATGAGAACAAAAACCCCAGAAAACCAGAGTTGGTCCACTGTGATTGAAGGCGGAGACCAGTGGTGGGGTCTGAGACTCCCAGAGCCCAGCTTTAAGTCCTAACAGCCATTTTTCCAGCACATTGGCACTTGCTGGAAGAAGTACAAGGAGTGCCATGTTGTGTAATGCTTTGATTTGGCTTGGCGTGAGTGGGGGACTCATTTCTGGGTTAGCCAGAGGCCAAGCTTAGCATTCCAGGTCTGCCACAAGCATACCATGCCACTGACAGGTCCATCTAAGCGGGACATTGCCTGTGCTACCCTCCTGCCCACCCATCCCAGCAACCAGACTTGCCCTTTATAAAGGAAGAAACATTTCACCATTTGCATTTAATGAGTTTTATTGTTTGAAGGTAGGTCTTACTACATTAAAACTCTAGCCCTATTCCCCTATTCTTGCCCATCTACGAGGCCTCCTCTGATTTTCTTTACTAACTCAAATTCATGTTCGCTCTTGCTGTAAGAGCAGTATAGATGCGAAGGCTGGCTGGAATGGTTCACATCACATCGACTTCATTTTCGTACATATTGGGGATCATACCCACTGGGGAGTTGATCATGCACACAGTGTTCTTACTGAACAGCTTGAATTCATAGTGAATAAGTTGTTTCCAAAATCCGTTGTTGGGCTTGATGATGGGGCGGCAGGCCTTGGTCCAAGTGTGGGCGTCTAGCAGAGTCATGGAGCGATGTTTCATCAGGTACGCAAGACAGAGCGCAGGCGAGCGGCTAACTCCCGCGGCGCAGTGCAGCAGCGTACGTCCTTGTTTCATTTCCACGCCGTGGATGTGATCAGCAATCGGGTCAAAAAACTGGTAGATGTATGAGGTGGGAGTATCAGACACCGGCACCTGTACATACTGAATGTCCTTGAAGTATGTGCTCACCACCTCTGAAGCATTGATGACGGTGGTGATGTTATAGCGGGACAACATAAATTTGTTATTCGGGGCCACGGCATTACTAACGTAAAGGCTGTCGGTTATTTTGGAGATATCATAGATGGTGGGCTGCCCGACAGCCTGAGATGGAAGGAGATGTTCTGGTGTCGTCATCAGGGCAGCAAGGCAGCAGTCTCTCGGTGCCGGGTTCAGGGACCACCCTTTGGAGCCACTTCAGGAAAGCAAGCGCGTTGTGAAGTGTCCTGCAGAGGTCTAGGGGGAAAGAGGACTGGACATGGTCACTGTGCCCTCTCTCTACTCCCTTACCCCTGGCGTCATAATCCCCAAGGACGTGGAACTCAGTTTGCTGTAACAATGATAGCTAGCTGCTGCTGCAGGCAGGACACGCCCCTGTGCCAGGACGTCAGAAGCCCCCTCCCCCCATCTCTTTCCTCATAATTCTTAGCCATTTCCCCCCCAAAGGCCTAATTCTTATTTTTCTCGACTTTTAAACGTGTTCTGTAACACCATATCTATTTTACGCTTCAATGATTGGATCACAGTGAACACAATATCATCCTTTCATTAGTATTGAAGAACACTTTCCCGCTAAAGTAGCAGTATCACGGGGAACATGTGGCTCATGTGATATGCTAATCTCTATAAAACTGCATTGAGATAAGGGTTTGGCGGAGCTTGGTGGGCTGGTGTGATACTTCTTTGTCGATTGTAACCATAGAATTATGTTCTTGCTTACGAACACATCAGAGCTGGTTGCAAGGGAACATTGATACTGCAACTGATTTCCAGCCCTTTATCTATTGGAAAGTTGGCCTGTACAGAACAGTTGTGACTCATTTGGCTGTGTCACAATTCAGTTACACATATGCGCAAATGATTTATCACTTGATCCTACTTTACTACCTGAAACAACAGCCCAAATTATCTTGTCTACTTACCTGATGTAAGCTAGCCTTCATTTATTAATTCAACAAGTTTTTATTAAGAATCTATTGTGTGTTAGACATTTTTACCTAATACAAATTTTCAGTTCTGACCAAACAAATAAAATATTCTTGGTAAATACAAAACACATTCCTGCCGCCTCACCCTTACCCACACCATTCCTCTCGGTTTTCTGAATTCTAGCCAAGCTTGAAGGCTCAATTTGATCAATTTAGAGAGAGGATCCACTCAGTAACCTAGAACGATGGATACTGTACTAACATGGTGTAGATCTAACACAGCACAGGCCTTGATTTCTGAGTGCTTACAGTTTGGTCAGAGAGACAATAATCATGGAAGACTCCAGAAGCAAGGGCGAGTCATTGTTTTATGTGTGTGTTTGGGAGACTGGGGTAATAATAGGAGGAATGTCATGGAAGCTTTCACAGAAAACATGACTTGGGACAAAGTGTTATGTTTCTTTACTATTTGTTTATTCTGCTCAAGTTTTTGTTTTGAAAAATAGCAAACCTACAGAAAAACTGCAAAGAGAACAATGAACACCTGTTTACTCTTCACCTATAATTTCTTTATCATTAACACCACCACACTTGCTTTATCTGTTTAAATATGAACATTTATTTGCTTTTTTTCTTCTGTTAAACCACTGATCATTTATTACAGATATAGCAACAAGTCCTTTAGCATGTATCTCCTAAGAGGAAAGACACTATCTGAACATAATCACAATACAAGGATTATATTCAGGAAATATATCACTGGTCTCATATTATTATCTAATATATATTCCATTTTCAAATTTCACCAGTAATATAATATTATTTACAGTTTCTTTTGATCCAGGATCAAGTCAAGGATTACACATTGCATTGATTATTGCACTTCTGTAGCATATTTTAATTTGGGACAATTCAAAGATGGAACAATTCCTGAGCCTTTTATTCTGTTTTGTTCTTTCCAAACATTGGCAGTTTGTAAGGGTTCAGGCCTGTTTTGTAGAACATTTTTCAATTTGGATTTGTTTAATTATTCCCTCAGGATTAGATTCAGGTGAAAGAGTTTTGGCAAGAATTTTACCAGAATATGTGATTCTCAGTACATCACATCAGGGGGCATATGTTATCTGCTTGTTCCTGTAATGAAGATGATAATTTTGACCACTTGGTTACAGTGGTGCAATGGTTTGAATATGATTTGACTGTGTCCCCCAAGGCATCATGTACTGAAATTCAATACCCATTGTAAGAAAATGGAGAACCCTGGTTCATGTCTGGGAGGCTGAGGCAGGACGATAGCAACTTCAAGCCTAACCTGGGCAATTTAGTGACTTAGCAAGACCCTGTCC